GCAGCCACTGGCTCTTTTATTCTATTTTTTTTTTTTTGCTGCTGTGACCAAAAGACCTGACAAGAAAAACAAGAAATGGAAAATTTCATTTGGGGCTCATGGTTTCAGAGGGCTCAGTCCATAGACAGCAGGTCCATTGCTTAGGTCTCGAGGAGAGGCTGAATATCATGGTGGAAGGGTGTAGTGGAGGAGAGCTGCTCAAGACATCATACCAGGAAGCAGAGAGAGAGCGATTTCCACTCAACAGAGACAAAATACTTATACCAGAGGCCCTCCCCAGTGACCCACCTCCACTAGCTCCACCCTCCATGGCTACAGTTACCATCCAGTGAACCCTCATCAGAGAATTAATTCAATGATTGGAATAAGGCTCTCATAACCCAATCATGTCACCCCTAAACTTTCTGGTATTGTCTCACACATGAGCTTTGGGGGACACCCTCTCTCTAAACCATAACACTGGCCCATGAGAATGTTGGGGTGGAGAGGAGGGAGCAGTGGGCTGTAATTAGAGGTGCCAGGAGGGCTTCTCTGAGGGGACACAAAATGAAGATCCCCACAGATGAGAATGATGACCTTGGGGGATGACGGGGACTGCCTGAGCAAACTGGGCAGTGTGACTGTGCCGGTGGTACTGGGAAGTCCTTCTTCCTCTCAGCATTTATAGTTTCCTGAGTTCCCTCCAAGGTCCTTATAGTCCTGGTCTGAGGGTCTGTGTAATCCTGTCCCTATTCAGTCCTGGCTGCTCTGTTGAAATACACTGGTGACTGCAACTGTGACACTTCTTAAGAACCCACCCCCCTCCACTGTCTCTCCCCCTACCCTGTGGCTTCCCCTGAGGACAGCTCCCTCTGAGGTTGAGTTTACTGTTATTTATGCACCTAATAAATGCTCTGAGGACTTTCTAGTTCTAGCACTGTGGACCTGGAAGGGCTCTCTTGGGTGTCTGGGGCCACTGGGGAGACAGGCCCATAACCAGGAGTTGTCAAATCTTCTAGAATCCTGCAAGGACATAGGGAATACAGCAGGAGACAGGAGTGCCTGCTCTGCCTGACTTCCTAGAGGAAGGGGTGTGGGCTCCACCTCAGATGACCTTCAGTACCTTCTCCTAACAGGCCTTGGCTTCTTCATTCTAGCCTGGGTTCATTCCTACACACCAGGATAGCAAGTGTCCTTTATTGGTGTCTTTCTAGGAGTGATAATATTCCCAGGTGGCTGTGTCCTGGGCTTCTCCTTGACTTCTACCTAAAGAGCAAGGTCTGTTGTTGATTCAAAGTTTTCCATCCAATGCTCTGTGGTCCAATCCACTGTCCCAGCTCCTGTCCAGGCAGATGCTCTCTCTGTCTGTGTTCTCTTGACAAAATTTATAGCTGGGGCTGTGGAGGTTGAGATATTCCAGTTCCTCCCAGTTCATAGCCGTGTTATAAGCTCCTTTATGTCAACTGAAAAACACAGTGCTCCTTCCTAACCTGGAAGTTGTTGTGTAACTCTTGGTGAGGGTCCCCTAACTGATAGTAAAACTGTGGAATGAAGAAGAGTCTTCAGAGAATTAGGGCATGTGGGGGGGTGGGGTGAAGTGGAAGACTTACATATATGGAGAGAGAGAGAGAGAGAAACACAGAGAAGAAGATTGAAGCAGAAGCTAATAATCCAGGAAAATATCTGCAGTGACAAATTCCTGTACAGGCCCCATTCCATATCATCAGGTTTAAGACCCCCTAAAAGCAAGTTTTGGTGAGAATATGGAGCATCTGTTACCCTCATATTTGGTTGATGATATAAAAAATGATGTAGTCATTTTGGGTGATACCTAGGCATTGTCCTTAAAAGTTTCACCCAGAACTGGGAGAAGTGGCACATGCCTATAATCTCAGCAACTTGCGGGGCAGACACAGGAGGATTCTGAGTTCAAGGTAAGCTTTACAAACATAGCAAGTCCCACAGTATTTTAGGGACACCCAGTCTCAAAAGATAAATAAATACAAAATGGATTGGAGCTATAGTCAGTAGTGAAACAACCCTGGGTTAAATTCCTAGTACCCTCCTCATCAAAAAGAAAAAAAATGAAAGAAAAAACAAGTTTCACTCAATCTCAGTGATTTGACACAGAGGATTCTAATATCAGGGCTTTACCAAAAAAAAAAAAAAAAAAAAAAAAGAAGAAGAAGAAGAGCACATGTCAACAGTGATTTCTGAAAATATACATCTCAAGTTTTATGTAAAATAGCCTAAGTCAGGCGTGACTGTACCCTTATTGCAATTCAGGTACTCAGAAGGTCAAAGGAGGAGGATTAGGAGTTGGAGGCCAGCCTGGGCAAGTTAGTGAGACCCAACTCAAAATAAAATAAAAGGTATGGATAAGAAGATCAGTTTTACAGTGCCCATGGGTTAAGTCTCTACTAATAAGAAAAAAAAAAAAAGAATAAGAGGGAGGAGGACAAATGGAAGTCAATCAGGTGTGCATCAAGTGGTAACTGGATAAAGTGTGGCAGATGCGTACATGCAAGGCCACTCCTGAAAAAGAGAAGAAATTGCAAGTTCAAAGCCAGCCTCAGCATTTTAACGAGGCGCTAAGAAACTCAGTGAGATCTGTCTCTAGTAAAATAAAAAAGAGGGCTAGGGGTGTGGCTCAGTGGTCGAGTGCCCCTGAGTTCAATCCCTAGTACCCCCAACCACCAAAAGAAGCTCTTCAAAAGAGCTACTGAAACTACTGAAAGTCTGAAAAATACTCTGAGGTCCCACTCTGGGAAGCATCCTGTGCATTCTTAGAACTGAAAAAAACCATACAGGGGCATGTTTGCAGCAGGAGCACAAGGAATGTTTTCTGCACAGAGTGGAAGGATTATGCATCAGTCCCTGTACACTAAAAGGAACTAAAAGGTCTTTTCACCTCTGCAGAGATCCAGTCAGCCCAGATTTACCGCTATCCTCGTCTGTCCCCTGGTGTCCAGGATGGGAAACACAGCAATCTTCATCTTCCACCCTAAAGGCCTTGGTGCCCTGTGGTGGGGCTTAAATGCATTGGGTGAATGAGGGGACTTTCTCTGTGGTGCCCCATGGAGGCAAGTTGGTGAGAGGGAGGGTATAAGGGGAGTCCCAGGGTCCATGGAGTAAGGGACACAGCCTTTCCATGACAGAGAGAAAATGCTTTGGAGGAACAAAAGGGAATATTGAGCTTCATTTGGCACTTTTGGTTACTGAGATAAAAGATGAGAGGGTTTCTATTGGAGGGGCCAGAAAAGTTTAGGGAAAACAATGAGGTGAGAGGAAAGGTCAATCATGTGGATGCCATAGGGAGTCGGGGATGGTCAGGAGGCTGTAGAGGGAATTCTGAAAGATTCTGGATGGAGAGGTCCTCAGGGACCCAGGGACAAGAATCCTTTCTGCTATGTGTCTGGACCTCCTGACATGTCAAGGCCTCTTCCTGGACACATCCCACACAGAAACATCTTCACAGCTGTGTTGTGATTGTGTCAGTGTGGGGCTCTCAGTGTCTGCAGATCCACAGAGAATAAGAGGCAACTTCAGGAGACAGGACCCTGAGGACCCCACCTGGCTCTCCAGGATGCACCCAGCTGGCCCAGGCTCCAGAAGTCAATGGAAAAGGCCAGTCCTGCTTCTCATAAGGATGGGTCCAGTCACCTTCTTGGGACAGAAATAGATGAGTATGTCCATAGATTGAAATGTTAATAATGGATGACATTTAATCTCCAGGTGGACTCAGGGATATGGAACTTTGGTTTTGTTTGTATCCTGGGTGTGTTAGATGTTGGAACTCTAAGTGTTTGGCCTGAAAGTTTGTGTGCTGCAAATTCATACAGTAAAAGCCAGTCTCCATGGGCTGGGGATAGAACTCAATTGGTAGAGTGCTTGCCTAGCCTGCACTAGTGCATTAAGTTCTAATGCACTAAGTACACTAAGTTCTAATGCACTAAGCTCATCCCCAACAGTGCACACACACACACACACACAAATGCATAACTAATAAAATCAGTCTACTACCTGGGCTTTGATTGAAAAAAAAAAAGAAGAAAGCAAGCCAGTATAAAAGTGAAAATCTAAAAAAAAATAAAAATAAAAGTGAAAATCTTTGGGAGGGGACTGGGTTTAGGAAATATCAATAGTTTTTGATATTTAGTTCCAAGAGAACTGTTTACCCCTTCTTCCAAGTAAGGACATAATGGGAAGGTGCCATCTAGAAACCAAAGCAAGACCTCCCCAGACAACAAAACTGCTAACACCTAGATTCTGGACTTGTCACCTCCTACACAGAAGACAACACATTTGCAAAACAAAGCCATCCAGTTTATTGTGTTTATTTGTTTATATTTTGATAGTAGCTTTGTGATCAAATACAGGACCTTGTACATGCTTGGCAAGTACTCCACCACTGAGCTACTCTCCCAGGACTTGTTGTTTTACTTTGAGCTTGTGTCTCCTGGAGTGGACAACCTGGGCTGCATATGGAATTCTTCTCCCTCAGCCTCCTGAGTGGCTTGGATTATGGGCATGTGCCACCGTGCCTCACTACATTATTATTGTAGTTGTTGTTGCTGTTGCTGTTGTTGTCACAGCAGCCTGATGGAGTAAAACACTGGGGCTTCTGGTGTACAGGTTTTCTACAGAGGTCCCACTGGTATGAGAACATGGGGTACTTGCTGAGAGGTGGGCAAGGGGTTCAGAAAAGCACCAGCTCCACTTCCTAAAACTTCTCTGTCAGCATGGGAGGGTGTGGCAACTGGGAGGAGGGGATAGGAGGGGTTGTAGGGAAGGAGAGGGGAGGAAGGGAGGGAGGGACTCAGGTATAATGGGGTGAGGAGGAAGGTGGGCATGCATTGGGAATTACTGAGTGTGTCTAACAAGAGAGGACCCATGGCGGAATGTATGGACGAATAGCTATGTGAATGAGTGGGTCAACCCTGGTTCATGGGTGGGTATGTGTGGGCACCACAGGGAGACCCCATCACACCTATCACACCCCTCTCTTCCTGACAAGGAAGCTAGAGCTCTGTGTGCTTGTCCTTAGCTCCCTTTAGCTCCTGGATCTTCTGAGGCAGGGTCTTGGTCCAGAACTGCAGCCTGTGGGCCTTCAGGGCCTTGCCCACAGCAGGCTGGATGTCCAGCTGCAGGTACTTCTGGTCCTTGTCGAACAGTGGCCAGTGGGGTAGGCCCTCTCCGTTGGGGTTCCTGTGCACATGCCCTCCCAGCAGGGCAGGGCGAGGGTCAGTCTGAGCTCTGTTGAACTCAGACCTGACCTTCCACCCCAACTATGGACAGGGCAGCCAGCCAGGCAGAGAAAGGATTTGAGAATGGGGAGAGGTGTCCTGATGTAGGAAAGTAATGACCTCTCACTAGTGTCATTCCACACATGGCAGAGCAACCTGGCCTGTGTTGCCCTTCCTGTGAGAAGCTGGCTCCCATGGTAGCCCAGCACTATGGCTCATTTTCTGGACCACTGTGAAAATAGACCAGTGACCTGTACCCAAAAAGAACCCTCTTTTAGTGTGGGTCTTTCCATTGGGTACAGGGCTAGAATGTAATGAAGCACACACAATTGCTAATGGGGTCACATCTGACAAGAGGAACAGTGGAGGGCCCGTGTCCCCTGGGAGGATGAAAGGCTTAGGTGTCCTCACCCATTTCGAGCAAAGTTGGCCCAGTACTTCATCATCCTCCTTTTCAGCAGCTCCTCCTCCTCAGTGAATTCAACTGTGGGAGGAGGAAGGAAAAGGTCCAGGTCCCGGCCAACCCCTTCCAGATGTTCACTCCTGTGCCACACTCACCACCCCAGCCCCAGGCTTGTGTCCCTTTCCTATCACAGAGTCCTGGGGCCAGGCAGACCCTCTGCTTGCCCAACCTACCTTTACTCCTCCCAGCCTTTAACTGAATCAACACTGGGCTCCTCCTTGGCCTAGATGTTTCCTTCTTTTGGACACTGTGAAGTCATTTAAGAAATGATTTGGCTTTTACCCAACCCCTTCTCCTCCTATAATAGACACCAAGTTTGGGTGGGAACAGGTGGAAGGAGCATAGATTGGAGTCAGAAAGTTCTAACCCTGGAATGACCTGTTGAGTTGTAAGATGGTAGACACTGATTCCCTTGCTCTCTCTAAGCCCCAGTTTCTCATTTTACAATGAGAGCAATTGTCACCCTGTAGTCATGAGAATGCTCCTGTGGAACAAGGAGTGCTCACCGCTCATGCCACTGATGAAGGATCCAAAGACAAAGAGAAGCTCGTCACCATGGTCAGCCTTCACATGTGGTGGCTTCATGTCCGTGAATATGCTGGGCCGATGCTGGAACTCATAGAAGTAGACAGGAGCATGGGAACCTGGAGGGTGGACAGGATGTGTCCCTCTTGGTGACAAGATTGCTAGGTCCAAAGCTGGCTTGAATCTTCACAGAGGCTTGGAAGCTCAGATGGATCAGGGGCAGTTGGAAGGCTCTTTGTTAAGTCATATCTTGGACTTCCTGGCTGTGTGGTCACAGGCAAGTCCTTGAGTGCCACTACCTTAGTCCCCTACTCTGTTAAATGAGTGTGATGTCTATCTCTTACCCTAGCCATAAGGATTTACTGAGATGATGGCCTTCAGTGCTTGGGACCAGGGTCTGGATAAAGACATGTGTCAGGACCTGACACCAGACCTCACCTGGGACCCACAGCTCTGAGCTGTCTCCTAGGAAGCCAGGATTCAGGTTTAGATACACTCACTCTGATAATGTGCTACTTGGAGTGCAGGCATCACAAACATGAAGTCCGCCATCATCTCATGGAACTGGAGTCGGAGGGTGTGGGGGTCCTCGTTGTCTCCCATGTACTCATCCATCAATAGGTCAGCACATTCGGCAGGCAACTTCATCTAGTCCAGGGAATCAGGGAGAGTCAGGCTAGGCAATCTCTGGGACAGGGAGACAGGAGTTGAGGGTAGGGATTAGGGTTTGCAATGTGTTGGGGAATATGACATTGGTGTCAAGCTGTGCGGTGGCCCCACCCACAAATGCACATATCTCAATCTTTGTTCCTGGGCATTACTGAAGAGGAAGAGTGTCTGGCTGACCTCTTGCCTGGCACAGGACCCCAGGAGTCTCACCGTCTGTACTGATATTCTCTGCAGAACAGCTCGCATGGTCTCTCTGTCTACGTCTTCCTGGATTTCAGGTGGGCCCAAGAACTGTGTGGTGAATGGATAGTCTAGAATTGAGGGTGGGATATCCAGGAGGTATGAAGTCTACACTTGCTCCCACCTGACACTATGATGGGGATTTGGAGAGGGTTCTCACCATGGGAATGCCCCAGCCATACTCATCATTGGTGACACCAATGATGCTCGGAATCAGCTGAAAATCAGCAGAGGCCAGAAGCTCCTGGGGGTGCCTGGGTAGGAAGGCCCCATCCACCACAGCAGGAATGATCTTGAAGGGCTAAGG